ATGTTCCAATTTAGATAAGAATTTTCCAATTATCCCTAAACTGTCAATATGAAGTTTTTGAAGTAAGAGACAACATGAGGAGATCTTAGTCTTGATTCATTTTCTGTTTGACTTTATACCATGAATTATTTTTGAGAATCTGAACTTTTGATAGATTGCTCAGAGCTTTCTGTTTCCAAGCTCAGCAGGGTGTATGAGATGTGTGTAGTGTCACATTAGCAATTTCAAATTCTCATCAGCATGGTAATAGATTAATGGAGTGACACAGCTTTACATAGCAGCTTCTTGCTTGTCACTGGTGGAAAAAAATCACTCTAGTAGGTGAATATTATTTTTCTGATAAGTATAAGTAAAATGAATAAGATTTTCCACTGTATAAATGGTCTGATTGAGAACCAGCAACAACCATCAGTAACAGTCAAACATGTCTTTGTATTTACACAAATCTTTCTTTAAGAAGGTTAGGGAAAGAAACAAACCAACCAATAAACAAAACAAAACAAAACAAAAACCTTTCACAAACATGATTTCACCACTCTATCAATCTTCTTTTCAGCTCTTTGAGGCACATAGCTGTTGTTACTGAAGTAGAGTATCCTCATTAAGTTGAACTGTGGTAATAGCTATTCATTTAGCTGGGAAACAAAATGAGAGATCCTCAGGGGTAGACATTTGGTGGAAGTTTACAAGGGAAAATGAATAAAGTTGGAGTAGCTATCCTGGTCCATTAAAACACAAAGTGAAATAAAGGTTTGTGAATGAATGAAAAAGTGAACAGTTTCATGGATATATTCCAATGATAAATAAAGGATTACTTTACAATGAAGAGATTTTACCTTATTGTGTATCCACAAGTAGACTGACATGATCAGAGAAATCGTGGCTTACATATCTATTTTGGACTTAAGAAAACAAGCACCACTTATCAATCAACAAATAAACATTTATTAAGCATCTCCTATGTACCAGGTATTGTCATGTGACCAATATGGCAAGATTTTAAAAAAAAAAAACAGTCACCTCTACACCACAATGATGCATCACAGCAGGGCAACCCATGAAACACATACCAATACATAATGGCCCTCAGATCTTTGCCCTTTTCTTTCTGCAGTGGTGGAGGAAGAACAGCAGAAAAAGTGCAGAATCACACAATTTTTGTCCTGTCTGTAAGCACTGATACTCTTATTAACAACTATTTTTTTTTGACATGTAAGATCCTTTCCAGTGACCCTCCACAAGTGCATATTTTGTGATGTATGAAATAACGTGATACTTATGTATCATTTAGAGTTGATAGAACACTTTATAAATGTTGGCTCATTTGCTCCCTAAAACTGTATGAAGTAGGTACTTCATGCATCATTATCCTAATTTTACACATGTGGAAACTGACAGCCAGAGAGCTAAAGTGATTTGCACATGGTCACACAGCCAGTGAGTTTCAGGTGCAGGATTGAAACCCAGATTTTCCTTTCTTTAAGTGCAACACTCTATTTACCATACCACACTGCCTCTCATATTAATATTGACATACAGCCTATAAATGGATGAGGTGAACCATGATCATGAATGATAATTACAATGAATGGATATAAAAGGATATACAGATTTTATATCTCTTTATACTATATTTTCCCTTACACTTCATTAAAAATGGACTTTTCACCTATTACAAGTAAGACTGTGAAACAATATCAATACTTCCCCATCTCCATTTTCTTCAAAGCAGTATTATCTCTTTTCACTGATATCAACACCATTCCTTTCTACATAGTGACTAAACTAGCAAATTGTTTTGAAAGCTCAATTTTTGTTCTCAATTTTACATCTTCTAGTATATATACACATATGTATATAGTATATATTATATATATGTATAAAGAGAAAATTATAAGAAAACTGATATTTTATGATCATAATTTTAAAACAGAAAAATATATTAAAAACCCATTAACAAATCCATAGATGATTATGAACTGACACTGTGAATGTATAGTATGGGATAAGATAATCCAGTCCTAAACTATTGCCCGTTGAACCAATCAAATTGTATTTACCAAGTACAAGATAGGTCCTAGACTCAGTAGGAGGCATAAAATAGAATAGAAATTCAAAACATGAGTCACAAAATATGCTTTTAAGCCTTTTTGTTCAAGATTGTTCATTGGTAAAGGAAAAAATGCTAAAAATCAAAGTGAAAAAATGATGCATATGTCTAGACTATTTGGTAATAAAGTGACTTGTATGGATTTGAGGGATGTGTCACAAAGATAGTGTTCCATCATGCAACCAATCAACCATTTTCTCTTGGGGTATCCTCTAAGATCACCTCTTTTGTGAGTTTATTGTTAGTATATGGGACAAACTCTAGGCAAAATGTTAGGTAGCTGAAGTACATTTTCAATGTACTTCCTCTTTTCTTTTCTGTCCTGCCCCTCTTTATTTATATCTCTTATTCCAATTTCTTTCCTACTCCCAATTCTACTATGGTGCCAGGGACCTTGTGTTACCTGACTCTGAGGAAAGAGATTTATCTAAAAAATTTTTGTCAATATGTAAGTTCCAGTGTGCTTCTCTCACTCTCTCTCTCTCTTTCTTACACACACACACACACACACACACACACACACACAACACACACATGAATGAATGCACAAACCGTGAGGGTATTTGTAGTTAAAGAAGAAAAGAAGAAGCTTAACCCAAAGAAATTAAGCTTAAGAATAGTGAAATTTTACATGTACATTTGAATAGGAAAATTAATTTGGATAGAGGAGTTTTTCTTGTGCCCTCAAATTTAACAACTCCTATTTATATATTTAATACATAATCTCTTTGAGAAAGTATTGGCTATTAGGGAAACAGACAATAATATCATGATTATTGTGACGATATTCATGTAGATTTTTCTTCACTTACAAATAAACCCCCAAAGCACATCAACTACATATCTGAGATAGTGTATTTTGATGAGGTCACGTAACCTAGCAATAATGATTAAGCAACAAAATTTTAATCTACATATACTAGAGAAACATGGTGGGTCTGAATAATTTTTGGCAGAGTCAGTGTTTGCAGATGCCCTATCGTTGGCAAAATGTAGTCACACAACCTGGCAAATAAAAGCTGTAATCTCTCAGTCTAAATCTGTCATAATGCATTACAATTCATAGGTTAGAGAATCAATCTCATATCACAATGGAACATTTTATGACAGTTCATGACTTCAATTTTACAGTTTCAACTTTCGTAAGGGGTTTATTCTCATTGAAAATAATTAAATCTAGATAATGTTTCTAATAATTGCTAATTTTATACAGTAGATAGCACTAAGTACAACTTCAAAATTCTCCTCTATATGACCATAGAAAATTCACATCCTCTGTAAATGTAAAGTAAAATCTTAAGACCTATCTGCTAAGTGACAGATGGTTCTGATCTTCATCAGTGGAGAAGATTCCAACACTAAGAGAATCACAGATGATTGTTTGCACATTGACCACTTGTGGGCACACCACAGACATAGTACAAACTGTTAAGATATAAGTTATAGTTGTGTTTAACTAAGGTTTACCTGGACCTGGTATATTTTTGATGAAAAGTCACTGTCTTCCTACAGATACTCTACATGACATTGACACAATGATAGGAGCTGAGTTTTTTTTAAATCAGTCTTATTTATTGTGAGTCCAACAGATAAACTGAAGAGTATTTTGCCCTATGCTTCAGTATGCAATTTTCTCTCAAATAAATACAGTTCATAATAACAAGGGATGTTGTTTTTTTTCCCACGGTACAAATGATTCTCATGGAAATAATATCTTCTTAACTACCAATGCAAGCCTAATTTTTGACCATATGACAGATTAAAATAGTTCCATGATTTGTCTTGGTATTCTCTAAGTTGTGAATCCTGGACAAACAGTGGTCTGGATTTTGAATAGCTCTATTTTCCTCTTCTATATCTTTTTTTCCCCTCTTGCATATTTTTAGTGTAGTGTAGCTGAGTTAATTATAAACACACATATGTAACAGATAAAATGTTAAAGAATATATGGAGAAAAATTGGTTATTAGAACTTCAGGACAAACGTTAAATCTAAAATTCACTAATGATAGATTTTATAGGCAGTGTAGATCCTTTCCCTCCATTTATTTTGCAATTTTGAATGTGACCACCAACGCTAGCAGAGATCAATAGCCTAGGACTGAGTTAAGGTATCAAACACACCACCTGGCACAACCAGGCCCACTCCTCAGTGCAAATGAGCCAGATTAAAAATAATTGGGAAATTTTAACAAAATAAGTAAAAATACAATAGAATATAAATAATGTTAGTGTGGTTTTCTAAGTCTAGATATGCTGACAAGGATCATTATTTATTTGACAGCACTGGTCTAAAAATTTATATATCTATTATAGATATTTCAGCCTTAATGGACAGGAGTCCTTCATCTCAAGAAAAACAATTTCAGGAATTTCTGTGAAAGCTTACAAAAAAAAGAGAACAAGTTTGGATGAGATGAAAAAATATAGCACACATTTAATATAACGGTGCATGGAAAGGATTCTGAAGTTGGATTCAGAGGACCTGGGCTTACATCCTGGCTCTCCCCCTTATTAACTGTGTGACTAAGAAAATCACTTTTTTCTTGGGCTTCAATCTTCTCAACTCCTACATTCAGATTATGATACTACGCTGAGGGGAAATGACCACAATAAACTCCTTTAGAGATTAAAATTCCAGAACTTACTTTTCTTCTCTACTAAAATATACTCTTTTTTTCACTAAAACTAATCTTTTCCTCCCAGGAACAAAATTTGGCTTATTTAGAAGACAATAGTTTTATCCAGAGATTCAGAAATCTCTCAGGAAAAGATATGCTCCCTCCTCTCTGCAATTTTATACTCACAAAAACACTGCCAATGATTTATAACATATTCATTAACCATTAAAAGGGCAAAAGGGTTTCATGGCAACAACATAATTTACTCACAGGCAAACTGAAGTATGGCTTCTCTGCTCAGAATGCTTCCCAAGGAGTTAGCTGTTAAACACTGATAATGACCAGCATCCTTTGCTTCAGTTGGGTTGTTGATAATGAGGTTTCCTTCAATCAAACTGTAGCGATAATCACTTTCCAAGTCTATTTCTGTTCCATTTCGTAGCCATCTTGGGAAAAATCAGAAGAAATACAGATAAGGATTACATGGAGCATTCTCTTATTCTCTGGGGATTCCAGAATGTCATCCAACTGTTGTTTTTGAGGCTTAGGGGAATGAGTGCTCAAGAGTGAATTTCTACCTGTAATTGGGAACAGGGTTGCCTCGAGCTTCACAATTCAGTGCCACCTTCTTCTCATCAGAATCAGTAGGGAAAATGATATCATCTGGTTCCTGCACAAACACTGGCCCATAATCCACACTCTCTATAGAAACAGAAAAGGGCATACTTTCAAAACCCTCCAAAGACATTGATTCATTAGCTCTCTTCCCACATTATCTTAAAAACCATTCTACCTAGATACAAAATATCTCTTATTCTTGATGCATTTTAAGGTAAAATACCAAAGAAAACTGTTGCTACATCAAATTCTACTTCCTAATTGAAAAGGAGATCCAAACAGATTGTTCTCCAGTTGATCAACCTAGTTTTGCAATTTGTTATACAATGAAAAAAGGAATATATCAAATATTTGATGCAATACATCTATTTAATTTCTTTGTATCTTTGTTTTTCATTTTTTAGGTTGGGGATAAAGAAAATAATGCCAACCTCATATTCTATTATGAAAACTAATTAATGTTTCAATATTCCTTAAATTTTTTACTAATATTTAATGATAGAGTTAATAGTCATAAAATCTTATTATCTTGAGAATCAAATATTGACCTTAATTGATTCATTTATTGAATCCTAAATGCTCAGCATTCTTCTAGGCACTGTGGGTATTCAGAAACCATTGTTTGATTCAAACAAATGCTATAAACAATCCTTGCCCTCAAGGAGTTTACAATTTCATGGAGCAAATAAAACATAAACACATGATAAATCAAGTATCTTGTAAACAGTATATGATCAAATTAGATGACAACTAAGTGATATAGACATAAATTAAGAGAAGGCAATCACCAGAGTTCCAGAGCAATCACATTCTCAGTCCCTCCAAACCTGGAATTTAAATATGATCACAAAGGATGATTAAATATGCATAGTAATAGAGGGAGAAAAAGGACTCTTTAGCTATGGGAAGAAAATAAGCAGAGTAATTGTGTTGACAACTGAATCACTGGTCAAAGAGCTAGAAAGAAAATTAGGTTTGAATTAATAAAAAACAAGAGGTCAGATTAGGAAATTAAGGCACCCCAACATGATGTGACTTGCCTAAATTCACACAAAAATGAATAGTGGAGGTAGACCTCAAATAAGATCTACTTTTAAAATATCCAATACTCTTTGCAGAGACTATGATGACTCCTGAATGAGGGGTGATATCACAAAGTAGTCAGGGACTATGACAACTGGAAAAGAGGTTTTCTTCATCTTCATCATCATCATCATCTTCATCATCATCATCAACACCATTATCATTATTTTTTTTTGTTACTGTTATTTTAATGAACTTTGTATTGGGATACACCTCATCAAGAATGTACGAACATGCATGAGTGGCATCCTATGAAGCATATGTTGAGTTACTTTGGCAACTGCCAAGGAAATACGTGGTTTAAAGCTAAAATGACTTGTTTTGTGATGACACAATGTAACATCCCCACTCACACTGATTAGATGATTCCTTGAAGTCCCTTGAGGGACTGCTCTGTGACACTGCCTAAATGAGGGGCTGTGATTACAGATTGACGAAGAGATCTCTGAGGCACACTGCCTATGGAACATATGAAGGAGACACATGACATCAGACTGTTGGGGGAACCTTGGAAGAGGAGAGGTAGTATGATGTTCATGATTGTTTTTGTTATACCCAGTGTTTAATAAAAGAGAGCTGAGCTGGGGAGAGTATGCTAAGTGTTGCCCTCCTCTTTAGGGTGCTTATTCTAAACTCCTTGTTGCCCCCCTAGACTACAGATATTTTTTATATTGCAAACAGATATAATTCAAGCCAATAAATCTCTTGGAAATAGGTGAGAGAAAGAAGGATCACCCAGCAAGGTAACCCTGGCTCCTATCTGCTTCTCCTATTCCCCATAAAAAAGACATCAATTATCATCTTCCTTGGAGGCAACATGGGCTAGACACCTGATTGGATATCTAAACATGCTACAGAAGAACTAACTTCTCTATGTTACACAGCACACAAACACACGTATTTACACAGTGGTGTCAAATTCAAATAGAAAAGAATTCCTGACAGCCACAGAACAACTTAACCCCACAAATTAATAATATTACCTATGTTGTATTGCATTTTACTTATTTTGTTAGATATTTCCCAATTATGTTTTCATGTGGTTGTGGCTGTACTAGGAAGTATTGTAGACCTACAGCTGCATGTTTGATATCTCTGCTCTATAACAACAAACCCTGGGAGGTTAAAAGCCATGGATATACTTAATTTTTTAAATGTCTGGGTCCAAGAGAATTGGGGATCTCAATAAGGAATATTTTAGTATGTACAACAATTGGGTGGTAACCTGGAAAATATTCAGGAACTGAAATTCAAAGGAGATAATGTCAGGGACAAATGTCGCATTCCATTTGGTACTGAATGGTCCTAAGAAATTTTGGCTTAAAAAATACAGGAAAAAGTCCTTTGAACTCTCAATTAAAAATAATTAGAGGCAAGGATCCACATAATAAATAAACTTGATTGCATTCCTTGACATCTTGGTGAAGTACACTTTGTTCTAAGGAAGTAGAAAGATTTTAATGTCTTTTATGGTGAGAGATCACACTGCATAGAATTCTCTACAGGATTAAATTCATAAGGAATATAATTCTATATGAAGATCTGAAGATTGCATAATGGAAAAATGAGTTCTTATTTACCCATCTGAGCTATTCCAAAGGATAAATTAAGGCTGGTTTGATCAATTGGTCTTAGAATCCAAGGGTTCTAGAAGTGAGCAAGCCTTGCCTTTCCTCCAGGGGTGGCATTTTCAGATCCAAGACACTACCATAGGAGGGTTGGGGTGCAGTCACCTTATCCAAAACTAAGGCAAGGAATCAACACCCAGCCTTCAGGAGCTCAACTTTGAAAATTCAGATAGGAATAGAGTAAAAATTACATACACATGCACACACACACACACACACACACACACACACACACACACAAATATAAACACATACAAACACATACACATACCATACCATGTACATATAGTCACCATTGTTATTTAATATAGTTCTAAAAATATCAACTGCAGAAAGAAGTCAAGAAAAAGAAATTGAAGATATAAGCATTGAAAAAGAGTAAAAATCATAGTTAATTATGAATGATTCAATTTTCTAGGAAAACCCTAGAGATTCAACCAAAATTTAATTGAAACAATAATTTAGTAAAGTAGTAGGATAAAAAACACACCCACAAAATATAATCGATATTCCTGTATGCTACTAACAAATTCCAATAGGAAGAGCTAGAAAAAGAAAGTTCATTCAAAATAACTATAATGCATCTGAGGGTTTAGCTACAAAGTTATACCAGGACTTATAGGAATATATCTACCAGACACTCTAAAGAAATATAAGGAGATTTAAATAACTGCAGAAATATTATTTTTATTATTATACTATATTAATATAATCAAAATTATGACAGTGCCTAAAATAATTTACAGGTTTCCTGCTAAATCAAACTAATAATAGGGATAATTTATAGAGCTAGACAAAACAGTAACAAAATTTATCTGAAGTACAAAAATTCAGGGATCCTCAAGGAAGATATACATAGGATAAGATATACAAGGAAAAAATACATAGGAATGAAGAGAGCTACACTATTAGATCTCAAAATATATATACTGCAATGCATTTATTCTCAAAACTATTTGGTACTAGTTAAAACATAGACTAGATGATTGATGAACAGATTAGATAAATAAACCAAGAAATAATTGAGCATGGTAGTATTGGATAAACCTTAAGATATTAATTAGTACGGTAAAGCCTGTATTTTTCAAAAACTGCTGAAAAATATGAACAGTTTGGCAGAACTTAGATTCAGACCAACACTTTTACCACATACCAACTAAATCACAAATTGATACATGATCTATGGTTAGAATGACATTTTTTTTTAAATAGAGGAGAAAGGAAGGAGATAACTTTTTGCAACTATGGCAAGGAGGATAATTCATAACTTAAGAAGGGATAGAGTCAATCCTAAAGTACAAAATTAATTTTCATTACAAAAAAGATGGAAGTATTTTTTTGTATGACCAAAATAAAAGCAGTTAAAGAAGAAATAACTAATTTGGAAAAATAGAATAGAAAGGAGGGGAGTGGGCAAATATGGAATAAAAGAAGAAAGTAACAGTAGTTCTCATTTTTAATCATAGATTTCTTTTGTTTAATTCATGAATGTGCAAATGGCCACTTCAATCACTCCCCTTTTCTAGCAGTGTTGTCCAGGTCTTAGTACAGGCCTCTAGTTCTGATATTCACCAGAATCCTACCTAAACAAATGCTTAAGGTATAAAAGAGCCACACATAATAATCTTCTACCATTTAACTATAATGCTTAATAACATATGCAAATCTATTGATCATTGGACTGCCTTTCTCTGGCACCTTACAGGCTCATTACCAAGGTAAATATACTCTTAGTCAAGATCCCCAGTCAAGAGTAAAAGAGCAAGAAATTCCAGTTCCCCAAATTTGTTCCCTTAGTCTCTTCAGTCCCCTTAGTTTGTGACTCCCTTCAGTCCATTTGTCCCAAATTACTTGACTTTTCCAACTCACCTCCTTTAATTTTCTCTATTAACAATAACAGCAATGAGGAATATAGGAAGGGAAAGAGTGGGCCAAACAATATGAAATAAGTAGCATTGCCCTCATCTATTCTAATTGATGTTTGTGTAGCACTTTAAAGCTTACAAAGGAAGAGGGGCAGAGCCAAGATGGCAGAGTGAAAGCAGTGACTTGCTTGAGCTCTCCCCCAAACCCCTCCAAATACCTATAAAAATGGCTCAAAACAAATCCTAAAGTAGCAGAACCCACAAAAAGACAGAGTGAAAGAAATTTCCAGCCCAAGACAACCTAGATGGTTGATGAGAAAGGTATATCACGCAAGGCTGGGAGAGGAGCGTAGTGCGTCATGGGTGCGCTGCAGTGAATCTAGAGCAGGCCTCAGAGGACTGAACTGGGGGCAGCTGTGGCAGCTTCCAGACCTCTCAACCCAGGAAAGCCAAAGACAACTTAGAAGGTCAGTGGGAAAAGCCTGTTTCTGTGGTGCTGAGAGAGGAG